ATACAGTGACCACAGTTCATATAAATACAAATCGAAATTCGAGACTTTCTCGCGTGTTTAGTAGCGGTTGACGTTATTGCAAAGCTAATTCTGATCGACAACTGCATGGCTTGGTTCGTTACTGACGTTAGCCCGGATTTTTTAATTTTGTCAACACTGTACTTAAGCCTCCCTTTGTGCTTCGTGGCCAAAATTGAAGTACAAATAACGCACAAATCTATTCGACATATGACATATCTGAAAGTCTTCGATTCGCGAAGCAATTTATATCGGAAACCACAACAATATTGGCAATATTGCATGTCTACCACGCTTGAATTAGACAAAAGCGCATATAAAATATATATAACTAGATAGCTTTACCCAACACTAGTACGTCTATTACACAGTTTAATGTTTTATTTATAGAGTATAAAATTCGGTCTCGACAGCTGCATTGTCTTGGTCTTAGAGTAAAATTATTACTAGGATGCTTAAAAACAATCTAAACGTTTCATAATAACAAATTTACAGAAGCCTTACAAATTAAAACAATCAATCTGTATAAACAAAATATCAACATAACTTTATTATGATTTATGGCGCCAGTTATGAACTTACTACCATGCATTGAAAAAGTGTTAACAATTAACTATATGACACGACTAACAATATATTCAGCGACGCCGGAACGATGTGAAGGCAAGGGGGGCAGATTTTCGTGAAAGGGCACTTTTGAATTGATATATACTAAGAGATGTTTGCAAAACATCGGGAGTTGAACCTCGCCTAATCATGTTTTCTATTTATTGGATGATAGGGTTGTGAGGGAGTTCTCCGCCAGGCGATTGTGCTATTCTTGAAGCTCAATGACTGCATTTCTTGCGTTTTCTGAAGCAAATTCGTAGAAGATTTGCACTAACACCTCTGACAATTCGCTATTTCGCCAAGGCAATCCTTTAAATTGAAAGGGCACCTTTGCCTAGCCTGCTCACAGACATTGTAGTTCTTACGCCAAGCGACGAAATACTTTCGTCGCTTGGCGTAAGAACTACAACGTCTGTGAGCAGGCTAACCTTTGCCCCCCTTGCAAAGGGCAAAGGGCAACGGGGGCGGCTGCCCCTCCTGCCCCCCTAGTTCCGGCTTCCCTGAATATATTACTTTTTAAATAATTTTCTTTGCGTGTTTGATAAATGTGGTTTGTTTACGTTAGCTATTTTTAGTAATTCAGTTTCAGGAGTTCTTCTCGAGGGTCGAGGGTGGGAAGCGAGGGTCGAAAAATCATAGTATAAAAAGTCGAGGGTCATATAAAAAAGTCGAGGGTCATATATAAAAAGTCCGGGGTCGTATTTCTAAAATGTTTTATGGTTTTTATTGTCGAGGGTAGAAATTTGCGGGCATTCCCTATAGATAAATTTGCAAGTGGGGCAAGCACAATAGCGAAAACAATACTTTGAAGATGGCGTCGCGAACCCGGAAAAGGCGTATGGCAATGGAAAGGTGTAAACAAGTCCTGATTACTCTGATTCAATAGACCATATAGTGAATAGACTGATACAATAATTTGCGACATGCAATCCGAGATAACGCAGATAATGCACCACGCCGTTTGAAACTATGTCGACTGTAGCTTTTGATCGGCATTTCTATTTTTATGTAGTAATATTTTGTCATATAAAAAGTAATCGCATATAAAAAATTAATAATTGCATATAAAAATAAGAGCTAAAAATTAAAAGTAAAGTAAGTGAACACGAACTTAAATTATTATTTTGTTAAATTATTAAAATGTACCCTCAAGCTTTTCACCCTCGAATTTCTACCCTCGACAATAAAAAAAACATAAAATATTTGTAAAATACGGCCTCCGACTTATTATATACGACTCGAAAAAACACTTTTAAGTAGAACTTTTAATAAAGAACTAGATAGCTTTTATTAGAGATAATCAGTGTCACAATGTCCTTTTATTTTTATGTTATAAAATATTATGATCATTGCATATGTTTTTAGTCACCTGGTCAAGTGGTACGCTGTAGTTTTCCTACTTTTCCAACTTTAATATGCTACTGAATATCATGCATTAAAGATACCTTCATTGCCGCATATAAGCATAGTACGTTAAAGTAGCTATGCGCCGTTAGTTAAGGCCCTGTACCCGGAGTGAACGCCTGAGTAGGCGTCTTGTTTAACTATAGAGTGAGGTAAAGTCTCCGACACTATTACTTATATCCTGGCATGGCGCTCTCATTGGACGTTATTACATTGTAACAATTACAGTTTGTGTTGTACTCTTCAACGTCGACCTGTTTCCATGGGCGTAGGAAGCATCTAAAAATTAGGTATCGGCTTCGAAGGGCACTTTTGGATAATGAAAAAAAGGGCACCTAACAAGTTTTTCACGGAAATGTTGGTGGCGAGGGGGATTTTCCAATCATCATATTTCATGCTTGATACATAATACATTTGCCCAAATTTCGAATCGCTATGTACAATCAACGTTTTTGACCAAAATTTTATTAAAAACTGTAAATTTCCTATAAATTTTTTTCATTGGATTTACTTACATGACGCAGTTAGTACTACTGATTTACAACATAACTAGCTTGTGTAAAAGGGCATACATAAATGTGTTCAGGAAACAAAAAGGGCCCTTTCAATGTTAATTGCTTTCTTAAGTATAATATTCTATATTATTATATGGCAAGCTGCTTCCGGTGAAATGGCGGACTGCATGTGATTGGCTGAGAAGCACTTTCAGCGGTCCATTATTTTCCCATAATGGACCGGCGGTCCTTTACGCACGCCTGACAAAAATGCATGCCAAAGCGCCAAGTTGCTTCAACTTCTTTATTTTCATTCTGTTTCTACAAAATTTCCCGTAAACATAGAACATATCATTCTTACAAATCGTATGGTTTTTGTTTTTTCGAATTGCTACATTTTTTGTGGGGAAATGATGTCACAAACTTGGCGCTAAAAAATAACAGTTAGCTATTGTTAATTTTATGCACTTACTCGGTAGACAACATTGAGAGAGTCTTAAAACTGAACTCCGTTTCTAAATACGACTATTTCTCGCGAAGATATATAGCGGCACAAATGTCGAAAAATCGGCTATTCTGTTACTAAAAATAGAAGAAAATGGCCGATTTTTAGAAATTTGAGTCATGACATCTTCGCAAGGAATGGTTGTATTTCGAAACAGACTTCAGCTTTAAGACTCTCTCAATGTCGTCTACCGAATTAGTGCATAGAATAACCAATAGCTAACTGTTAATTTTTTTGGAGCTAAGTTTGTGACGTCATTTTCCCGCCAAAAATGTAGCAATTCGAAAAAACCATACGATTTGTAAGAATGATATGTTCTACGATATTTGATGTGTTGGTGTAATGTACTCAGGTGAATAAGATGCTTCTGATGTTACTCTGAGTGTATATCCACACCGGGCAGGCTTGAAAAATATGCCTGGCCACGGTGGGAATCGAACCTACAACCTTTGGAATACTAGCCCAATGCTCTGCCAACTGAGCTACGCGGTCAGGTCGGTTCGAGTATGTAATATTTCGGAACTTAGTCTAGTTCCTTCGATATCAGTGTATATAATCTAATAATCATGATATTTGCTGTGTTGGTGTAATGTACTCAGGTGAATAAGATGCTTGTGATGTTACTCTGAGTGTATATCCACACCGGGCAGGCTTGAAAAATATGCCTGGCCACGGGAATCGAACCTACGACCTTTGGAATAGAATTAGATTACACTGATATCGAAGGAATTAGGCTAAGTTCCGAAATATTACATGCTCGAACCGACCTGACCGCGTAGCTCATGCAGTTGGCAGAGCATTGGGCTAGTATTCCAAAGGTCGTAGGTTCGATTCCCACCGTGGCCAGGCATATTTTTCAAGTCTGCCCAGTGTGGATATACACTCAGAGTAACATCACAAGCATGATATGTTCTCTGTTTATGGGAAATTTTGTAGAAACAGGATGAAAATTAAAGAAGTTGAAGCAAGTTGGCGCTTTGGTATGCATTTTTGTCAGGCTATACGTAAAAACAAACGCATGCATTTTAAAACAAAACAGCAAAACTAATTGAAAATTTGAAAATTATAATTTAATTTGTTATTAATAAGATATCTGCGAATGGTTTTTAATGGCATGGAAAAGGAATACATTGTGTTTTTTGTTTTCTTCGAACAAATGTCTACCACGCTACTAATATTCATTTCAAATCATGCACTTCTTGTTTGTTTCAAGTATAAATGCCATATAATAAACTTTTTATTAACCTCGCTTGCTCAGTATGTACAGATAAATATCGGACCTTGGTCTTTTTGTACAAACCTCGTCCTACGGGCTTGGTCTGTACAAAAAAAACCTCGGTCCGATATTTCTCTGTACAGACCTCCCGTTCGGTTAATAAGTTATTATTCATATAAATTACTCTACAAAGAGCGCCGCCCTCGAATATAAGCGTTGCCCTCAAATAAGCGGCACATTCGAAATACTGAAACACGGTTACAAATACACCAGAGAAAATTTCCGATTCAGGTGATCAGTGACAGTGATTAGGAATTAGTGATCATATTTTGGGTTTCGCAATTAGGAAAATTCATGTCATAGTTAAACAAGAAGCAAATATTATTGAAATATAAAGAAACACGAAAAATTTAAGCAACACTTTCTAAAGGAGTTATCAAATCAACATTGCCATTGGAAAATGTTTACTTTTTTGCCGATAATCGAAATAATATGTGGGAAATTTAGAAACAGTTATTTCTAGAGGTTCTAAATAAACATGCACCAATACCGAGAAAAAGAAAATTTGATCCAGAAAATCCCTCGGATTACAAGCGATATTAAAAAGTTAATAAACACAAGGGATAATTTGAAAAGGAAAGCTATTATTACGAACCTAAATTATATCAATAGACAATACTAACACTCACATGAGCGTAAAAGTTGAAAACCTAATACTTAATAGCTTACCTGACTATATCTTTATTTTAATAATCCCATGCATATCAATATACGTATACCCTCATTTGTTTATTTATTTGCGCTTGTTAACAATATCTACAAAAAACCCATGTTACAAAAAAAACATAACCAGCCAATATATGATTCAAAACAAGACGCAGGTTGAAACTGTAAATTTTCGACTGTTAATTTTCGTCTTGTTTTGAATCATATATTGTATTCTCAAGATGTCTTGTCTTTTCGGAATTTGTTTTTTACTTTACTTTAGCTATATTATATAAGTTACATTCAGTTTAATAACAACATGTAAGTCTCGTATGAAGATGAACGGTACGTACGTATTGTGCAATATGAAGTATTTATGCAAATTCAGGACACACCGTATATTTTTATATGAATTGATAGGAATAGAGCGTTTGCACATGACGTCACAGCCGCCATGCTGTTGTTCCAATTCAAAAGAATTTTAATTAGACTCTTTTGTCTGGAACACCATCCCTAGGGAATGAGTGCAAACGCTCTCTAACTCGTGACTGCATGGAAGGGGGTGGCTTGGGGGACATTTGCCCCAGTAATATGGTTAAAAGGCTCTGGGGACCGGTGCAGCAAATTGCCGATTTTTAAGTAGTATCTTCGGCTCGACAATTCCTCAGGCTGCCCCTATGCTTTCACGTTAGTATAATTGTCTACTCTTTTTTATACACTCTGTATGCGCATGATAAACTACTGAGTTGTTTCCATATATGATAGTATATTATGTACTGTTTAATAACCGAGCAGGAGTGTTTTTAGACCTAAAAAACGACCTGCGAGTTTATTAAACGGCTTCAAACACGACTACGTCTACAAATTCAATAGATATACTGCCTTATTTGAATTCTTTATATAAAGAATACTATAATTAATGAGGACACGACTACAATAGATACTGCCTTATTAGTATTCTTTATATAAAGAATACTAATTAGGAGTGTTTTATCAGGTTTAAAGCCACTGCACGTGACATATTATGGTTGACATGATTTGCCAATAAGCTTATGAATTATTGAAGAGTTAAATCAGCTACTATTGGAAACTTCGCCTCAAGTCAGATTATAATCTCATTTGCAGCAAAATCGTACAAGTCAACATTGTCAACTCCACCATTGTTACGACCATTATTAACTTCGGCAGGTCCTTCATCATTATTACCATCATTATCAACAGCGGCATGAGGTACTTCATAATTATCCGCGTTAGGACCATTATCAACACCACCACGTCCTTCACCATTGTTACCGCCATTATCATCATCCATACGTCTCATGTTACGAGGTCCTTCATCATTATTACCATCATTATCAACAGCGGCATGAGGTACTTCATAATTATCCGCGTTAGGACCATTATCAACACCACCACGTCCTTCACCATTGTTACCGCCATTATCATCATCCATACGTCTCATGTTACGACGTTTGACAATTATGACTATCAGTGCTGCCAAAACAGGTATAATTATAATGGCAACTATAATTCCAACTACTGCATATAAAACAGTATTTGATTCTTCTGTTCCCGGATCGTCTTCTCTATTTCTTTCTTTGACTTTGTTATATGTAAAGAAAAAAGTATTTTTATTTTTTAGCAGTCCGGTAACCATGTAAAAATCTGTTTTCAGGGGGGGCGAAGCGAACGCCGAAGGCGCGAGACCATCTATGGAGGTCCGGGGGCATGCACCCCCAGGAAAATTTTGAAATTTAAAGTCCCTGAAATGTGATTTCAAGCATTTTGGGGGTGAAATCTTGCAGAATTCCAAAGATTATTAAGTACGCTCTAGAGGGTTCGGGGGCATGCACCCCAGGGAAAATTTTAAAATTTAGAGTCCCTGAAATGTGGTTTCAAGCATTTTGGGGGTGAAATCTTGCAGAATCCCGAAGATTATAAAGTACGTCGAAGACATAAATTTTCCCAGACATTTCTAAGTTTCTACTCGCTTTTATATATGATACAGAATAAGTCTGAGAAGAATATTCATGTTATCATAATGCATATACATGTAAATCTAAACTAAATCTATTCCTCTTGGAACCATATCTACAACTGTTTTAACGAGATTTTAGAAATCAAGTTCTTCCAGTATTTCGTCGTTTTCCTCAGTCGAGACGTACTTAATCCGTTTCAGCTTCGAGGATGTAACGTGTACCCCCCCCCCCATTTCTCTACGGATTTAGCCTTTTTCAGAGAATAGTTTTTTTTGCGATTGGGG